GATTTTGTCATACGAAATAACAGAAAAAACGACTTCTGTGTCTTCTATAAAGTTGATGCATCTTGATCAAAGAACGTTGTAGAGCGATGGAAGACATTACATTTTGTAGAAAATTGTTTATTATATCATTCCGAATAATTCAAACAGAATTTCAAGAGACGAAAAATTCAAATTTCGGTTTTTCAGAAATTCTATCATTGGAAAACTAGCAATCATTTTAAAGTTCTCTACACAAATCACTATTAGGATTCTTATTAGTGCTTACGGTAGTGGGAAAAAATTGAAAATACACCTGAACGAATGATTTTGAAAGCCACTGTCTTTATAGAAGGGCTTCGTTATATAATAATCAAAGAAAAATTTATTTCAAAAATCGAGCTCTATTAGACATTGCAACTTTATATGCTCTTTCAAACAAACAAAAACAAATAAGCGATCGGCTATAATGAACCTTTTCCGAAGATTTTGGAATGCGTAATCAGAAAAGCATAAACAGAAAAAAAGCAAAGAAAGGCATACTTTTTAGAGGTGAAATAAATCTAGAATAGAATTAGGATTTTATTTAAATTTGGAGTATGAATATGCGTTTGGGTCAAGTCCACATAAATAAATACATAGGGTAGCTAAAAATTTCTCGCAGTAGCAGGCTAAAATTTCATCCTCATTATTTTGATTCTTGATATTGGCCTATTCTAGTAGAGAGTACTGTTGTGTAGTAAATTACCAATACGAAGTTTCACATACATCTATTGTAGCAAACTCTTAATGCAATTCTTCATCCCTTCTATTTTCAAATGGAAAAACTCATTTGTTATTTAATCATCCCGCAACACAAATTCAAGATGAATTAACTACTGCTTATAGACAAAGTTATATGTAATTTTGTACAGTTGATAATTGGATTCATCGATTTTCAAATGAATGAAAGTCTTTGGAAGTTGATCCTCGAAGTGTTCGTCTAATAACCGTCATTACCCAAAACAAAATTGATGCTATTAAAGATCTGATGAATGATGATTCATATATTCGTATTCATTATAATGCTACCATCTTAGATATATCACATGGTAGTGTAGATAGTATTCTGAAATAACATCTTGTCGTACGAAAAATATCGTCTAGATCGGTACCTCATGAACTCTCTCAAGAGCAACGACGTGTTGATATTTGTATTGAAAATTTACAGAAATTTGAAAGTTATACCTGGAGACTGGATGATATAGTCACGAGAGATAAAATTTGGATTTACCATTGCAAAGTTAAATCAAAAGAACAATTTAAAGCATAAGTAGCAAAAGAAGAAGACCCTCTAATAATAGTGAATCGACAATCATTCGAAGAAAAAAGAATGTTTGTAATTTTTTTATGACACCAAATGAACCATTACTTATTTCTGAAACATCAATAAATGCCATATATTATTGTGATTAATATTTAAAAAAATTAGTTAAATAGTTATACAAACAAAAACTCTCATTAACAAGCAATGGCATTAAGTTGCATCATGATAATACAACAACACATATGAACGGTATTGTTTTTGAGAAGAAGAACTACTTCAAACATTTACTGCAAATACATTAGTAAAATGTTTTCTCTATGAATAAATATTTGAAAGTGCACGAATTTTTTCACTGCTCCATGTAGTTCGCAATTTAATGACGATTATCGAAATGCAAACTACTTATATTATTTTTGTCTAAGTCCAAATATGGAGGATTTGGTTTCAAATCCTAAAATCTATTCTGGGTTCTGTCGTACCTGTAGTAAAGTAGATCGTTGTTGATATCACTTTATTTTATCAAATCCGTTGAGATTTATGTTATTTGCGATCATATCCGATTTTAATCTCAAATCCAAGGCTAAGTTTGTTATACACACTCCTCATATTATTTTAAGAAGAGGATGATAGAAATCATCAAAAAATAAGGTACCAAATAAAGAATCATGTCGTTGATGAAAGATCAGATTTGGGACTATCATCTCAATTTTGATTTTTCTGACGAAAATTGACTTTTGTTTAAAAGAAGAATGGCCTTAAAAATCAATAAAATTTCATATTATCCGATCGAACAGATACACAAATTCATATGTTAAGTATTAGAATATAGGAAGGTGATCATTCAAACTTGTTTCTTCAACTATAGATGTTAAGTCCCTCTATCTAAGAGGTATGTCAATAGCAAAATTTCATCTCAGACTGACAAATAATTTAATTCAGTATTGTAATGGGCTGTTTTCAGTACAAAAAAAAGATGGTACATGAATTTAAATATTAATTTAAAAAAATCTTTGATCGATCATAAAATAGAACATTAAAAGAAGAAGACACCAATAAATTCGACTGTTCCTTTTTATTTTTTAGTTGAAAATTTTGAAAATATGGATATAAATGTTGGTAGAAATGGTGAACTGTCGGTACAAAAACAAAACAATATTAGAAACTTAATAATGAAAGAAAAGAAAATTTCCGTTAGAAATTTAAATTTTACAATAAATCTAAAATTTTCGAATTTTAATGTACACTTAATTATACTTGAATACAATACAAATACTTGAGATTAATATAAATATTAACATGATAATATACATTTATACTTTAGTGAATTAATATTATTATAATTATATATCGATGACTCAGACGATTGATTGAAAGAGGCTTTTATTAAAGTTGACCGACTGTGGATGTCGGGGAGTTGAGTATTATTTTTTTGGAAGTAGGTAAGCAATAACAAATAGTACAACACTGAAGGAAAACAAAAATTCTGTAAGATTGAAGAGAGGGAAGGGGGACACCTGGTCAGGACATCCTTGTTTATTTTTTATTATGATCAATGTATGATTAGTTCGATTTATGATCATTATATGGTTATTATTGCTTATTTTGTACAATTTAGTTTGTTGGTTTATGATTATTATCACCTTGTTTTCTGTTTATTTTCTATTTATATTTGAGTTTTCATAAATATTTATTTCAACTCTGTTGATGATGATCGTTTATGATAAAAGAACAAGCTCGAAAATTTCCGATGTATTGTAAAAACTAAAATATATATTACAATATTTCTTTTTCTTTCATTAGTACGAAGAGAAGGGACATAGCTTTTTTGTTTTTTAGTTAAATTGTCACATGAGTAAAATTTCGAATGATATAATATTTTTCATGAATAATAGAAGAGGTAAAATAGTAGATATAAACAAAAAAGTAGTCGTAAAATAATATGTACAAGGGTTTTGTTTTTTTTTGAAAACGAATATATATTATTTGGAAGATCGCAAAAACTTGAATTAATTTCTTTGTGCTTTTATTGATTTATGATTCTGTTCTGATTTTAAGAAGCTTTTGCACTGTCAGTATTTCGTTTTTGAAATTTGATACCAAAAAAAGAAACATTTAATCTACGTTGTTCTGTTATATTCTTTAGATTTGACATATTCATACGAAATAAAGATAAAATCAATAATAAAATAATCGCTAAATAAGAATCTAAACTTTGATACTTATGTAAACATTGTTTTCATTTATGTGTATGTGTCCTTGTACTCGTTTACGGTCTGTTGTCTTTCGTGTCTTCACTATTAGCAAGTGCTTTTCTTTCTTATCATTTTTATTCTATTGCTTATTTAATGATATTTTGTCAAGGTTAAAGATATCATTTCTAAAATATAGAAATATTAAATAGAACGAAAATTCTTTCACTTAGTAAGTTGATTATATGCATTTCACAAGGAGTTCAATATTTTATAAACAATTCGAGTTAAAAATGCCTTAAAATACAATTGTACAATAAAAAATGAAATAATTCAACTAAAAATTTTTTTTTTTTTTTGTTTATCGAAATATTCTTTGATTAAAAAAATTTGAAAACTATATCAAATGTAACCTTGATTGAAAATGTTTCGATATTATCAAACGAAGTTTTTTTTTACATAAGTAGAAATGATTTCTTTGTATTTGATTAAGAAAACAAAGTAAAATTTATACAATTTGAAGATTTTTATTTCAATAATTTGATTTTTAATATGTAGCAAAACTTTCTCAATAAAATCAAGCCGTTTTCGATGATCTAATATTGACCTGGATATTATTTTAAATTTTTTTTTCTTATCAGACAAATTATTTATCTATTAACGCAGAAAATTTGGTTTTTTTTCTGACTATCTTGTTTATTTATAAATTATTTTTATCAACAGATATAATGCATAATGATATAAACAAACCAAAAAAACCACTCATTTCACAAATTTTTTTTTGAATACTTTCATTATGTCAGAAAAAAATGAATAGTATTTAAATATGATTCAAAAAAAAAGAACTCGAGCATAACATTCAAGAATATATATATGCTGTTATGAAAACCTTGGCAATACTGTGCAGTCCATCTTTTATCTGCACATTATAGTACTATAGCGTAAAATAAATTTGCTCCCCTTTGTTTCTATGCTTGTCATCATAATTTTCTCACCCGCTCACCTTTAATGTCCCATGACCGAATCTAATATAACTAAATTACGTTGTAAAATAAAACATAATGAATATCATTGAGCATCTTATGTTTTATTCTTTTTGCTTTGAACTTTTTTTTTTATACGCGTTATGTCTTGCAAATGTAAAACAAAGATATGATTAAATAATACAAATAGTAAATTCAATGCCAGAAGACTAAACAACGAGACGTTGATTTATATAAACTTTTATTTTGACTTGAACATTCTCTTCAGGTAATTTTTTTTGTTCTTCTATTACTACTCAATCATAGATTTGTATATTTTAAGCATGTTTTTACGTACTTAATATGATATTTTTTTTTATACACAGTCACATAAAAACATACCTTTTTTTTCTTTTTCATTATTATATGTATTTTCTAAACTAATACAATTTTTTAAGATAGATACATTATAGATTATCAATCCTAATCTAAATAGAATATTTTATTTTCTTGTTATCATTTTAGGACAAAGAAATCTATCACTGTTGTCTGCCGTTGTTAAACAATATGATTGAAAAAACAACAATAACAATGAATTGCAGCAAAGTTATTTTCTACATTGTTTTAGTTATATGTATTATCCAAGTTGAACTTTCGTTTCGTAAGTAATTTATTTACAGAAAACTCTTTTAATTTGTATTCTTATTTAAATAATATCGAAGAATCAAGGGATATAAATAGTGATATGCTCAAAAAATTAGTACTTGCAGCATCAAAAAGTGATGATTGTTCACGTCGTGTAGCAGTTCAGGAGCCAATACCATTACGTTTTCGTCGTGCTCCTATAAGGGATAAATTTCCATGTGTTATTAAAGTAAAATGAACAATTGATTTTTTGTTTTTTTACGATATAAAATAAACGATTATATTTTTTTTATGACATAGTTAGTTAAGTTAAATAATTTCTGTTTTTTTTTGTTTCGTTTTTTAGTATATCTTGATTATATGAAGACTCATTTTCTTTTATTTTTTATTATGAAGAATAAAATCCAAAGTTTTAATCACTTTTTTTTTCTTTTACATGAAAACATAAGAAAAGAAAAGACGATCGTTTAAATTAATGAATATTTCATCATATGTTTTTATTTCTATAATTTGCACTTGATCCTGTCTTTATAAATGTATATTCAGGTGAAAGTCAAGGCTTTTTAATAATTGAAAAAGTATAATGATATTATATTTTGAAAAAATTGTTTTATTTTATTTGTAACATGAGATTATATGACATAGATATTAATGCCGTATTGTATATAAGTGTTTTTTATACTTGACATCTTAAGCGCCTCCTCCTTGATTGAGAGATTAGTGACACTGCAAAAAGAGAAAGCCTATAAAATGAAACTTTAAAACGATAAATACAATACAATAACAAAAACATAATTCAACGAATGTATCTGGGTTGCTTATTACTCTTCGTTGCTTGCATCTTGACAAATGCATCAAAGACACGTTATGATGGGTAAATATAAAAAATGTTCACTAGTATTATCAAATATATTTTTTCAGCAATATTGTCGTATCTGTAATCCCTTCAGAAGAAAGACATTACAAATTATTAACAAACCTCGAAGATCAACATGAAGTATAACTTGAACAAAAAAACAAAACAAAACTATAGAAAACAATTTTTATTTTTACATAGATTGATATTTGGAATGAACTACGTCGTAATGATTCTGTTCATGTTATGTTTCATAAACAAAAACAATCACAACTATGGCCACTCTTTGAATCATTCAATATGAAACCATCAATTTTAATTAATGATGTCCAAAAGTAAATTTTAAACAAAAAAAATAAAAAATAAAATAATTATTTTTATCTTTCGTTTTTACTTAGATTAGTCGATGCAGAAGAACGAACTCTTCAAGTACATGCTCGATCGGGTCAACCACGTAATATTCTCACTACTTTTCTTAACTATGATGAGGTAGAAAAAAAACACAGTATTTTATTTACAAGCAATCAAATGTATTTTTTTTCGTGTAAAATTAGTATACTGCTTGGTTAAAAAGTATAGTAGCAACTTATCCAAATCTTGCAACACTTCAATCCATTGGTAAAACATATGGCAATCGAGATATTTGGCTTGTTAAAGTAATATTGTTGCATAAAACAAACGAAAAATAATTCGTTTTATTTATTTTTAATATTTAGCTTACTGCGAATTCTGGAGCAGTAAAGAAAACAGCTTTTATGGATTTCGGTATTCATGCACGTGAATGGATATCACCGGCAACTGGTGGTTACATGATTAATGAAGTATATCAAATAAAATTTGTACATTTTTAAAAAAAAATGATATTCCGTTTATAGTATTTAACACAATATGCAGCAGGTGGTAGTGCTAAAGACATTTTAGATAAATGGGAATTACATATAGTTCCTATCCTTAATCCTGATGGTTATGCCTATTCACATTCAACAGTTTGTTTTAAATTTTTTTTAAATTGAGAAAAACAAAATCAATTTTGAATTTATTAAAAGAGTCGTATGTGGCGTAAAAATCGAAAACCAACTAGTACCAGTTGTATTGGTGTTGATCTTAATCGAAATTTTGGTTATAAATGGAATACAGGTGGTAGTTCATCTGATCCATGTTCTGAAACATTTCATGGTGGTGCACCAATGACTGAAAATGAAGCTAAAGCTGTTCAAGGTTATATGACTCCTAGAAATTGGGATACATATCTTACATTTCATTCTTATGGACAGTAAGTTTTCTTTTTCTTTTTCCTATATAATTTTGTTTTCATTATTTGATTAATTAAATTTTTTTTTCTAGATGGTGGTTTACTGTAAGTTAAAAACAAAAGAGTTTTCTTTTATAGAAAGTAATAATTTATATATTTTTTTTTAGAACTGGTAAGTCAATGAAGTATAGAATAGTTGAAATAATAAAATTTTTTTCAGGGGTTATACAACAAGTGACCCACCTCAGTATAAACTTCTTGTAAGAATTCATTTAAATTTGATTACAATGAATTACATATTGTTTCAATTTTAATAGAAAGACAAAGCTACCATTGGTATGAATGCTCTCCAAAGTGTCAATGGACGAAAATATACACTTGGTTCATCAGCACAATTACTTTGTTAGTTTTCTTTTTTCTATAGATATATGTTTCAATGAATCTATTTCGTTTTTATATTTAATAGATGTTGCTAGTGGAGGTAGTGAAGATTGGACAGCAGGTATACTTGGAATCTTATATTCATATTGCCTTGAATTACCACCAACAGGTGGTACTGGATTTCTTGCACCTGTCAGTGAAATTAAGAAAACAGGTAATTTAATATTTATAATCGATATATTTATTTGTGTTTCTATTATTTGTTTAGGTGCTGAAACTCATGCTGGTATAGTGGCTTTGTTGAAAGTACTTTAATATGATAAAAATATTTTTAAAAAAAACGATATAAATTATGATTGTGAGTCACAGTGAAGAAAATAAAATGAAAATGAAAAAATAAATTTATTCGTTGAATTAAGCATAAAGAGTTTGTTCTTGTTGTTGTTGATTTTGTAACTGTTCCATTGTTGATGATTTAATTTGTTGAAGATTATGAATTGGTGTAGGTAAAAATGGAAATTTTTCACGCATTTTATCATCAATTCTATCAGATACTTTACCTAAATAATAATATGTTCGTGGAATAGTTATATCTCGTTGAAATGAACGTATATAATCAATTTCTTTAGCATCACGTGTTGTTGGTTGTCGTCGACTACTATTTGTTATTGAACGATAATTAAGATCTTTATTAATTGCATTTGTACGATCAAGTGCAGTTGAATATAAACGTGGAATAGCAACACGTGTTGATTCTGAATATAATTTTGATTCACGAGGAATATATCGATCAGTATATTCACTTGATATGAACAAAAAAAAAAGAAAAAGAAAAACGAACAATTAAGAAGAAGAAAAAAAACAGCTTGTACCTTATTTCAGGCATTGTATGTGAACGATAAAGAGATTGACTTTGTGAACGTTTTTTTTCCATTAGGCCCAAACGTGTTGGTTCACCTTCAAGAGGATGATCACTATGTTCTGGTATCCAACAATCATCTTGTAATGCCCATTTTCGTTCTGCTGGAAACTAAAAATTTAAACACTATTAACGCAAATTTTGCGAGATTAAAATTTGAAACACAATGTTGCTGCTACTGTTACAGGAAAATTGTTTTATTCTATCTTAGGACATATTTCTTCGCCCTTCCTTCATTCAATCTTCCAGAAATGTAATAACGAAGTAGTTCATTTTTTATAACGCGACGTTATTGACATATGGTTTCTGACATGGAGAGGAGGGAAGAGCGCTACGAACTATGTTTTATTCAGATTTCCTCTTTCGAATGAGCGATATAAAACTTCAGAGGGACATCGCCTCCTCAGCCATCACGTTGGATAAAACACTGACTGTAAAAGTCTCTAATTATCGTCACCATGATCGGATGGCTACATATCCACAACGTACTGCATTCAAATCTTAATAACATCAGCCATGAAATGACTCTCAACAAGTCACTAATGGGTGTTTGTCTCAGATCATCCATCCGAGAGCATGCTGACTACATTGTGACATACACCTGCTCTTGTGATTAGTTAATGTATATGGAGAACTCAAACACTCTGCATCAGGCTGGCCTTCTATCGAAAGTTACAGGTATAGGAAAGATATTGGGCTATTGAATCTATCGTTAGACAGCGTGACCGAAAGGCATGGGTATTCTTCTTCTGACTGACATCTGTGGGAGGTGTAAATTTTTCTCTCTATACTTCAATACCCTACGTTTTATATCGTGTTTTACAAAAATTTAATGAATAGATTTGAAAGAGAAATCTTTAAATTAATTTTACTTGATCATGTCCATAGGGTCCACGTCGATTGTAATGTTCGTCATAACTATAAATATAAAAATTTAATTAAAAAAAAAAAATTTAACTATATTTTACCTGCTAATCAATTGTTTACGGTCATTAATATTATGATGACCAAGAATCATTCGTCTAGGTCGTTCTTCTTGTGATAAAAGTAATCTACGTCTTAAAATTGTATCAGGTAAATAATCAATATGTGCTGGATAATCAATACGATAAGTTGAATTATGTGTATAATTTGATTTTTGTGACTAAATAATGAAAAAATTTTTTAAAAAACTTATAGAAATTCTTTTCTTTTTTATTATAACAATTAAGAATATCAACATATAGAGAATAAAGCTCATAATGTATTTTTCAAAATCATATATTTTAAATGTATTAAAACTTACTTTTGATCGATCTTCATACCAATTTCCAATTAAAACATCAGTTCCATATTGTCGTTTACCTCGAAATTTTTCTGTATGTATTGGCATAATTGGTACATTTGCATAAGTACCATCTTTTGGATTATAAAATCGATCAGCTTGAAATGTCATTTAGAAAATTAATCTTCAATAATAATAAAAAAAAGATAGAAAAAAGCACGACAATATTCAAAAACAAAAAAAAAATCTTAATTTCATCTAGATTATAAATATTCATTAGCGATCTAATTAAGACAAGGTAAAAAAAAAACGAAAAGAATAATTTTAAATATTGCTTTAAAATGTGCAATATAAGAACAATCAAATCAATATAAGACATATTTGAAATCTTTCTAATCAGAACTGTCAAATTTCACACTTTTTTGTTGTGATCGTCGACTACTATTATCTAAACGTGGTATATCACTAATTGAATTTATATCTGCATTTGATATATTTGATTTTTGTATATGTGAATATGATTCTTTTGCACTTATATGTACACGATTTGGTGAAACATAACCACGTGTACCTGTTGGAATATGTTCAGCATACCAAAGTAAATGAGATTCTCTATTTAATATTTTGATTTTATCATTTTTTGAAAATGATAATTCTTCAGGACGTTGACCTTTATAATTTGTTGTTGCATACATTATTTGATTAGATGATATTGGAGGTTTTCGATAAATATTAGTATTATTATCATCATCATCAGTTCGATTTGATATAGGTACAAAAAGATCAGGTGATGTTAAATTACGTAAAGGACTAACAATTGGTGGTCGACCTGAATCAGAAATATAACCAGATGTAGGAATATTTCGACGTCCTTGATATGGTGATATATCACGTTCTGTTGAACGTGACATAAGATGACCACCACCATAGTCTGTTATCGAATCTCGATGACGATTTGTTTTAGATTTGGAATTCTAAATAAAAAAAATTTTTAGATTTTTTTTAAAAATTTTCTTGTTAGTTATTAAATATTTTATCGAACTTTCGAGAACGTAGGATTAATATGATAGAGAACAACAAAAAGGTTATTATTAATCATTTATAGTTTAAGTCCTTGCTACGAAATGTCGATCGTAAAGAAAAAAAAATATAAAAATGGAAATACTATCGAATAGATTACTTTTTTTCATTGGATATACGTCACTAAGTGAGCAACGATTAATCATGGGAGTTGAAGGATTAACTCATGTCGCAGCACGTTTATTCGTTCTACCGTCGGTATACCAAAGATTTACTGGTGATAGTACTTATGACTTTCAGTTCCATTTATAAACGATTGTAGAGTGTTTTCTATCAAAATTCGAAAGAATTCAAAAAGTTTCAGAATATATTTTATTAATAAAAATTTATTTCGTATCTGAAACCAATTTGGACTCTATTGCTAGTACAGACGGCTCAGAGTGCATCGAAAACTGCTAAATTCTGTTAGTTTTAACAGATTTCAAAAATATTCATCCATTTTTTATGCAAACACTTTCAAAAAAAAACCGACGAAGATTTCTCGATAGTTATCACATAGAAACGAATCGAATATACTTCTACGCAATTTATTGTAGGCTACGTTGTGTTAGGATCCATATACTTGTTTCTAAACTTCAAAAACAAATTAAGAAATATCTTCTATTGAAATGATACTATTTCAAGTTGAAGAGAACAGGGCTGTGAACGATGTAAAACAGCGAAATTCAGCATTTTTACGTCGTCGTTTTCTGTAAAGCTCGTAAAACGATGAAAATAACAATCGAAAAAATGGCCCGTAAAATGAGCTGGAGGATTACGGTGAAAATTAATGCAGTAATAGGTCGTTTCCGACGGTCAGAACTGTCGCTCTGGAATGCCTAATCGATAGATAATAGATGAATAGAGAAAATTGACTTGGCTTTTTTTTACGCAAGAGTAACCTTAATTGTAAAACATCCGATAAAAGAAAATTTCTACTTACAATAAAGTCATCCATTTCATCAAGCTTTTTATTAACAACTGCTAATCGTCGATTTCTTGTTTCATTTTTTGATCCTATTGATGGTCGTAATTCATCCTCACCACTGTCTACTCTTGTTTTTAAAATACTTCTTTCTGTATCTGAAACACTCGTAGTAGGTCGTGCACTAGAATCATATCGATCTTTCATTGTTACTAATGGTTTTTGTTCATTATCAGATAAAATCATAGATGTTGTTGGTGTTGTTGATAATCCTCCTTTTGTTGTATATTGTCGTGATAATGGTCTTGCTTCAATATCTGCACCAACAAATGTATGTTGAAATACATAAACCTGATGTAATGTTCCTATTGAACACATTGCTAATAAATTATCTAATGGATGAAATTGTATATCAATAACTGGTTGAGTATAATTTAAATTTTTATATGAATAAAGTAATTTTCCATCATATGTATGCCAACAATGTACTTGTCCATCTTCACTACCAGCAAAAACAAGAGAACCACATGTTGAAAATGTTGAACGAATACGATCTTGTAAATTAAATGCTCCAATATAACGACGTGATATTGTTTTTCTAATTATACAAAAAAAAAAAGAAGAAATATTCAAAATAAAAGAATTCTTATTTGATTTCTTACGTTCGAATGTCAATTAAAACAATTAAATTATCACGAGCAGATACTAATAAAAAATTATCACCTGGTGAATATGTAACACTGTTCAATGGAATATTCTATCCAATAAAAAACAAAAAAAATTTTTCGATAGACAAAATTTTTTTTTTTTGTTCTACTTTTAATTCATCAAATTCTAAATTTAAATATGATGACCAACTGTCAGCAGATACTATAAATATAAATAATTAGAAAATTTTTATTTTATTTTATTCTATTTTCATACTACGTGATGTACTTGTTTCATTTGGTAACCCATGCCAAATTTTAATAGCACCAATACTATCAACTGATGCTAATTGTGTACCATCTGGATTAAATGATAAACTACTAATATATCCTAAATGTTCAGGCATTGTTCGGACTATCTATAATAAATAAATTTTGAAATTTAAATGTATTTAAAAAGACGAAAACAAAAAAATGAATTTACAGTTCCATGTTTTCTTCCGAGAGTCCATATACGTATTATTTTATCATAACCAGCAGTGACAATAATATCTTCACTTAATGGATGAAAACGAACACAATAGACGTAACTTGGATGTGCTAATGTTCGCCATGGTTTCCGTTGTGTTTCTTCAAAATTCCAAATTCTAAAAATATTCTTCACCTATATATAAGAAACTGGGCATTTTTTTAGGTTCGATTTCAACGATTTTTTTTTTGCTGTATAGTGTTCTAATCAAAGCCCTAAAACGATTTGAATTTGCCTAAACTATCAAACTTTTTTTCTAGAGGTCCCAGGTTTTCGGAAAACTCGTATTTTGATCTGAAACTTTGCGCATATAGAGAACTCAACTAGATTAGTTTTGAACAAAGTCTCTTCGATCGTATATCAACAACGTTTGTGAGGAGAGTCCACATTCACACCCCCCTATACTTCAACTGGTGTTTCGCATGGATAAGAATTTTTGCAACCGGATCCGGATAGCTGTACCCGATATTCGACCGCAACTAATTGACATTCGAAAGATACTTTCACAATTATAGAACGGTTTTCAAACTTTTACTTCATATGAAAAAGTATACTATTTAATTTCTTCCATAAATAGCAACAAAATTGGTGTCTTTTTGCTTCTAGTATCTGATCAATTTTGCTAAGTATACATTTGTTTGTTGTTGATGGCGCTGAAGAATGGAACGCAGTGTTGATATCAAACGTTATACATGAATATTTAATTCACCATATATCTATGGATGAATTGTCATTTAAAACGAATTCTTTAATAAAATAATTTCGCTTTCTTTTTCTGTGACTTGTTCTCAAATGCAATAGATTACGCAATCATGATCGAATCAGTTTTCACTGGAGATGCAACAGATCTGAAATAGATTCGTAAAAACGACAGAAATAGCTTGAGATGTGAGTCATTTGAGGCAAAAACCAAATCCTAAGGCTTCAGATTTGTTGCATCTCTAGTTTTCATTCCTATGTTTTTATATAAATAACAGTTTGAAAAAGGAAGAAAGTATTTTGAAACGTCGAGATCTCATTAATTATCAGGTCAGATTCGGATATGAAATCATTTTTTTCATGCCCCGCACCTGAACTCGTACCAGATGTTAGACACTAGCTTCAACAATTCTTTTAGATGCTGTACTGCTGAGCCTTTTGATTTTATCATACGATTAAAATTTAACATATAATCGAAAGTCTAAGAATATGATTAAATTCTGTAGTAATACTAAATAATTCGATTATTTATTTTTGAAAATTTCTATCTTACTTGACCGATGAATCAGCTGATGCCGATGCTAAATAACGATCAGTTCTAGACCAATCTAGGTCATAAATCATTTGTAAATGTCCCATAAATACAGTTACACGTTGATCATGTGGAATCTATTGTAAAGAATCTTTTTCTTTTTGTAACATAAGTAAATATTTACAAATGATATATTTACTTCAAAAATTGATATTAAATTATTTTGTTGTAATTTATTTACTTCTGCACAAGCAAGAAAATAACCATTATGTGAGAAACGTATTGATGAACAACCACGTTCACTTGTATTAAGTGAAAGTAACAGTTCAGTTGGAATTTTACATTTAGAATTTGGTAATTTTTGCCAACGTGGTGGTAATTGTGCTACACGTTGTAATGGTCCCATTGTTTGATTGTTTTTAGCTGTTAGTTGATTATCTGCAAGATGTTCAGATGCACCAAGAAGATTTGAACTATTTAAAAAAGAAAAAAAGAAAAGTTTATTCTTTATTTTTATTTAATAAAAAAAATTTTTTTTTTTTTACTCGACGATTTCTTTCTGTAATTGATCATATCGTTCTCGTATTCCTTTTATATCACCATCTACAATTGATCGTATACCAGGATGATAATGACCTCGTGAATTAAGAGGTTTAATTGTAACATAAAGTGTTGATGGATATTTTTCTCGATGTAAATGATTAAACCATAAGACAACCTTAAATGAGAAATTATTTAATTTAATTTTTCTTATATTCGTTGTTGTACAAACATCTGGTGTTGCTGTTGAACTGTATTGTTGTAGTAATGGTTGCCAAAGTTGTAAACGAACCATTCGTTCGGTATTAAGAGTATTTCGTGAACCAACAATCTAATAAATAAATTTTTAAAATAGATTCACTCAGATATGATTCTCTAGTGTTTTATTTGTGCTCATCAAAAAAAAAACGCTCAACTTCTCCCCAATTTACTTTTAAAAATGCCCATGCAATTGGAAATGTAGCCGATCGATCGTTTGAATATTTTTCATTAGAAAGATATTCAAGAATCTAAAAAAAAGACAATACAACACTAATAGATTTTGACTATTTCAATATTTAATTTACCTCGAAGAAAACAACAATATTGTGTTGTTGAACTGTTGTAAAATACGAATAATCTTCATCGATTATAAGCATATCTTCCCATGATGGAATAGTTGAACTAATTAAGAAAATTTATTTAACCAATAGTAAAATAAAAAACATGAAAAGCGATAATTAGTTGCATGTTTGACAGAAGAATGATTTCTAATTTACTTTTCAAAACTCTCAATTTCCAAACGTGTAACTCAATTAGACATAGTATCACATGAGAATGAGAGTGTCATGTAAAATGAAAATTTACTCCATGGAATGGATTCTTAGATGATCTTGCTGGTAAATAACGATTAAATATTGATATTCACATTTCGAATTTATTGAAATGTTACGAAAAGACGAAAAAGTGTAGTTATTGTTAGATAATGAAAACTGTGGTAGACTGCAGTTTCAAAAGAAGGAAAAATTATATAGGATTATAGGAAATTTATAAAGCAATTACTATTTGGTCTCGTGTAAGGCTTCATACTCAATTTGAAGAGTTTCCTAAACATTAGTATTTATACTCATATCGAATATCCTTTGTCCTTGAACAGATTGTTAGTTATTTTGTGGATCTCTCTCTGACGAGGAAATTATCCGAACTGATATCTGTCGTGTGAGCTCAAACGTTGAGTTACAGTTCGGATAATTCTCTTGTCAGTTATTTTTCTGTAATGCTAAAAAGTTTTTTTTGTCGCCGATTTTATTTGTCAAACATTGCAACCAATTGTCGTAGATTCAAAGAAAACATTTACCGATTCTTAATAAAATCATAAGGTTGAGTTGAAATAGGTTGAATATAATCACTTGTTTGATCATTTATATTATGATAATGAAGTACTGAACGATTCCTATAAGAAAAGAAAAGAAGAGAAAAGTTAAGTGAATTTTTTTTTCTTCATTTTATATATATTTTATGAAAATATTGTTTGTCTTTTAATGTTTTTTTTTTTGAAGAGAATGAAAAGTAAATATTCAAAATATTAAAAGATCGATTTTCAATAAATAAAAATTCTAAATTTAACATACGGATCAATTTTTCGCACATAAGATCTTGTATTAAGATCAATTAAATGAACGCGTACAAATGGATGTCGAAGACGAAGATCTGTTCTTAAACGATCTGTTCGATGAATAAAAATGCCAAGTATTTTATCTTTATTCGGATCAATTCTTGCTTCTGCATCTGAATGTGATTCTTTTGATTTTGCTCGTCGTTTTTTTTTTTGACTATTACTTCGTTTTTTAACAGTCATTTCAATTTCTTCACCTTCACGTATTTTAAATGTTTTCTTTTTTCGTATAGGTTTGGTTTCATTTTCAACAGTAACTGTCGTTGAATTATCTAATGGAGGTACAACAGAATCCTTTGGTGATGGTTTTCGTCTATGATGAGATGCTGGTCGTCGTAAATGAGTTTCGGGAACTAGAGAAAGAAAAACAATTAATCAATAAAAATAGGAACTTTTGTTCTTTTTTTTTTTCTTTTTGTTAAAACCTTCAATTCTTGTTTCATTAGCATTTGTTGTTGCAGAATTTGTTCGACTTTGACGACGTGCACGTCGTGCTCGTGAAACTGAATCATCTTTAATCAATCGTTCACTATGACTATGATATTCAATACCACTATCATGCTAAGTATAAATAAAAAGAATTGATGATAAAAGCAAACCATTGAAAAAAAAAAACCAAATATTGTTTCATCCTTGTTTTGTTTCTTACCGAGTCAGACTTGTTCATCTTTTAGCTTTTATTTCTTTAATCCTTCAAAAACTCTTTATTTCTCATCATCGACAATGAATGGTAGAACAATGTTACTTAGCAACATCATACACATGTTCTTTTCTTTTTTTTTTATTTTACAATCTTAGATGTCTCTAGACAACAGATATCGAAGAATTTGTGAAAGTGCTGCTATTGCTACACTTGTTCGATGACTAAGACAATGATGTAACATTTGCATTTCTTCACGTTTATTTATTATACGAATAGTATCATTACCATAACAACCTTCAATTGGATGTTGCCAACTAATTATTTTATTAAACCAATTAATATCTTGAAAAAATTCATTCCATCCAACTAGACCACCTAATGCAATTTGTTCCATAAATAAATCACGATCAATTTCAAGAAAATTTTTTCTAGCAATAGTTTGACTTTCATTAAACATTCTTGAAATCATTTGATATTCATCTAATGATGATAATCGATATTGGTAATAACATAAAGATTTTTTAGCAATTATTGAATAGAGTATTTGATGTGTAAGTGAATAACGACATGCATATGGATCATTCATTAATATCATACATGATTCTGTTTCATTACATTTACCATATCCTAATGTATGAAGACATTGATCAGAAAGTTTTTCAAAAAATATTGATGAAGAACATTTTGTTTCAATATTAATTTTATATTTATTTCTATGAAATTGAAATGGTACAATATTTGAAAAAGTACCTGGCATAAGAAGAAATGATAATTGTTTATAATAATTTGATTGTCGTTTACGAACAGATTGACTAATTTGCCAAGTAACATATTCACTTAAATCAACAAGTTTTTTTACCAATTTTCCTTGTTTATATATTATATAAGGTCGTAATTGATCAGCAACAATTCTTGTACCAATGCCTGCATCTAAATTAACTTGATCTGTATGTAATGAAAAAAACTTTAAAGCTCGTGTTAATGTATTGATAATTTGATTAGTAGTTATAGTATGATTACATAGAACTAATGGAATAAGGGTAAAGATAAAATACCAATGCAATATTAAAATCATCTTTCTTTATGAAGAAAAAAAAAGTGATGAGAATATCATAAAAAAAATATGTCTCTATAGATTTATATACATATTCTTATTCATAAGCTCATTTCGTAGGCGATAAAGATTATCTTTTTCTTTGTTTTTAATTAAAACTCATATAAAAAAAAGTAAATTATCTTATTGTTGTTGTATTTTTTTTTCATCTCTCTTTTGTCTCTCTCTCTTCCTTTTTGTATTTGTATCTAAGCTAAATCATATTCATCTGGTGTTGGTAAATAGTCTATTAATGATCGTTTTTCGTAGATATAAACAAATGTTACTAATATAAATGTATAAAAATCAGCCAAAACAAGTAGAATACTAAATATATAAAAATAAAAAAACAAAAATATTTTATTTTAAAAAAGCAAAAAAGTAAATCAATTTCTTTACCTAATAAATGGCATTAATTGAATAAGTTCAATTAATAATTTAACTTTCATACATGACATATTAACAAGATATTTATCATGATAATTATCTCTTAGACATGTACATTGTTTTGTTTCAATATTGATATTTAATATATCTTTTGAACAATAATAAAAAAATTGTTGAATTTCAATTGATTGATATTTACGTAAATGAATTATATTTAATATATACCAAAGATTTGAACATAAATGTAAAAATAATGTTAAAAGAAATGGATAAAGAAATATAAATGAATCTCGACGAAAACCACTAATCATATAGAAACAAAAACTATATTTTTCTTTTCTTTATTTTTAAAATCTATCAAAATTGATTAAGAAAAAATAATAATAATTAAACATACCTAAGAAAAAAAAGACAAATAAAAATAGCTTGTATAATAATAAAAAATGGAAAATATTGCCAAGGTAAATTTAATAATAGATCAGATGCAAATATAGCTATAGTAAATTGTGCACATGTACCAAGAAGTATATAAGCAAATGATAATGTTAAAAGAAAAATAGCTGTTGTCATTATTTTGAATATTTTAAATGAGAATAAAATTAAAGAGTTATGTTTATGTTTTTCTTTAGAGTTGATAAATTAAGTTGTTTAAGTGTCAATATTTGATTGTACGAGAATAAGCTAAAAACTGACATTTACTAAATGAAGAATATAAATATGATAGCGGGAATTTTTTATTCAATAAAAAAAGATTTATTTAGCTTTCATTTATGAAGAACAAGTTTATTATGAAATCATCTATGAAAAAACGTTCAACGCTAAGAATACAAAATAAAAATTCATTTATCAATATTTTCAATTGATCAATTACTTTCTTACTAAAAGCTATTAAATTATTAATTATCGACCATATTGATTCGAAATGTAACCATAAGAAATCTTCTTAGGTATTTAATTTGAAGAGTATCGACAGTGCATTTGAAAAAATGCTGAACTACATGTATTCGTTGGTTCAAAAAAAAAAAAAGAAATATGATTAATTCTACCACTTTTAGTTGAGTGAATTGTACATGTAACAATGAATTCAAATTTTGAAGATCAATTTAAACTCCTTCAGAATAGAAGGTCAATCGCAAGGAAAATTTCACCAAGCATAATAGGAGATCACGGGTTTTCCAAAAAGCTTTTTTTTTCAAAAACTCAACAGGTTTTGGAGGGTTATTAACCTAGTTTTTCGGCGCTTACGAGGAAATATTTCTAAGTGCCAAATCGCTTTTGAGTCAGGACTATGCACATCATATAGGTTCTAATGCAAAGAGTTCGGTCTAACAGCTTATACTTGCTGAGATACTATATAGTTGATTGTAAAAGTTCCAAATCTTTTGATTATTTCTATTCTAAGATACGGCTATGGTAAAAGCACGTTTTTTTTCTGAAATTTTCAGAGTAAGCTTTTCTCGTTAAGGTCTGTGTCTATGCAAAGTTTCAAGTTGCAATTCGAAACAGTATTTCTGAGGGAGACCACGATATTCTGCTAAAAATACAATATTTGGGCAGTTATAAGTTATTAGCCCGAACTCTTTGCATTAGAATCTACATAGTGCACCTAGTCTCGATTCAAAAATGATTTAACATTTAGAAAACGTTTTCTCGCTAGTTACTAATAACGCGTATTTGAATATCAGAAAAGCTTTTCAAAAAACCCTTGGCTTTCTAGGTAAATATAGACGGTCACCTTTGGAAGAGCGATACGAATTTCTATAATAGAAGGCCATGACATTTTATTCTGGATGGAGTTAACTTTGGTACTTAGATATCAAAGATTAGTTTCTTCAAAAAGTGATAGGTTATAAAGAGTTCCTTTCTCTGTTATTGTCATTTTTGTCTCGGTTTAAATAGATATTTTCTTTTTTATTTAATAATATTGTTAAAAATCAATATATATAATGAATACATTTACAACTTTTTTTTATTATACTAGTAAATCGAATGAATATTGGAAAACTAATATCCATTATCAAAAAAAAAAAAAAAAAAAAACAAAAAGATCTTTCTCCCTCTCTAATATATATTAAGATAAAACATCCTTTCGGCAAATTTTGCTATCAACTACTTGTCGTAAAACATGAGGTTAATCGATGTAATGTCTTTTTCTTTTTTTTTGTTTCTTAATGGCTTGTTACTTAGTCATTGTCTCTCTTCATCTTTTTCATGAAGATAATTATTATTATCATGATAGAATGTCTCTTGTGATATTAACAAAGTGTTGATTGAGGCACGCATCAATAATTTTTTCTTTCCATCCTATTCAATTAACATCATCATTGTATTCTTTTCATAGTGACAAGCATTTCGTTTATTATTCGATTTTAAGATTTATTTTGTTAGAATATTCTTTCTATCTGAATGCATAACGATAATGAATATCTCTTGTTGCTGTTGTTGTTATTTGTGCAGGAGTTTGATTTGTTGTTGTTGTGACTTGAAGAGTTTTTATTTGTTGATTTGAAAGATATTTTTCACGACTTCTTGTTGATAAATTTGAAAGTTTTTTATATTCATTCCAAAGTTCATTAACAACTTCACTTGTTAATAAATCACTTATATTTTCTGATATTAATCTTAATATTAAAACACCATCACCTGATAAATAATCAAATATAAAATGTTTAACAAGAAATTGTCGTTTAAAACGTTCTTTTTTTGAATATAAATTTAAATAATTTGCTATATAAGCATAATTAAAATGACGAGAACTATTACGAATTATTGTTAATAAAACACTTTTTAAATTTACTATTGTTAAAAAAACTAACCAAAACCAAATAATAGTAAAAATTTTTTCATTAAATACATTCATGGGTAATAAACATTGAACCTAAACAGAAAAAAAAAACAAAGTCATGACTAGTTATTTTTCAGAGAAAGAAAAAAAGAACTATTTTATTTTACTGTATAAAGTGTTGGTTGACCAATTTTAACAACATTAAAATCACAATAAACACTTAATGGAAATATTTTTGTACCAATAACATATTCACCACGACGAAAATTTTCAAGTACTTCAAGACCATAAAAAATGGAATTCTTTGTTAATAATGTATTTAAAAAAAATAATTGTAATGATGAATTAATAAGAAAAAGTATTTTAACAATAAGAAATAAATTAACTAAATAATAACCACGAAAAGAACTTGTATTATAAAATATAAATGGAATACAAAATATATTTAAAAATTGATATATATTTGATCGATTTGATGATAAATTTTTTGAATTTTTTGTACCATTTGATGTCATACGATTAAAATCATATTGTTTAGAACGTGCTAATAAATTAAGCATTGATGTTATATGATGAACTTTATAACGATTTGTACGATAATCAAATATTGGTGATAAACAATGTTGAATATTAATTCCACATCGAGAATTAAAATTACTCCAAATTAAACGTGGAATAAGAAATAATAATGATTGAAATGCAAGTAATAATGGTATCCATTGATAATAATAAATAGAACGTCGACGTCTTATATGAGAATTATTTAATGTTGGAATAGTTTCATTCATTGATATATAATAAGTATTTGTTACATAACAATATTGTTGAGTATATGAAACAAAATTACCTGAAAAGAAATTAATAAAAAAAAAGAAAAAGAAACTTCAATATACGTTCTTGTTTTTTTGTCTTTATACGATTTGTCAATTAAAATAAACATATAGATATGGCAGTAAATATCATGTCAACTTTTACTTCTATCATTCATTTATTCATCATTCTGATGGGGATAATATTCATAAATCATTTGTATGTCAAGATCGTCATACTTTGCTCTTTTATGAATAGAGTAATTCTTATACTTATATATTTGGATATGCACATGATGAATAGAAAAGAACAACATATGAATTCTTCTTATCACTTTAGTTTAATTAATCTTTTAATCAATGAATATAATAGTAGATTTTATTTGATAGTATAGTTTTTATTTAATTGAAATTATAAATAAAATTTGATAATATTTACCTGTAAATTCACCAGGTGTCCAACAAATAATTAAATTAGATATAAATAAACGTGAAGTAATAATAGCTGAAAAAATAAGTAACATAAAAACTGTATGACGATGATTAAGACGATTTGATGCATCATCATCAGAACAACCCAACCATGAAATACGTAAATGTGTGAGTTCTGTTATACGATGAATAACTTCAGTCATTATTATTATTAATAGTAGTACAACAATAAACTATAGACGTTGTATATCGTTCGAACTGAACTTAGATAAATAATTGAACAATGTAATAATAATAATAACGACAAAAGAAAGGAAAAGAGCAAGAGACGATTCCTCTCTAATGGATAGAAGAAAAAAAATGTATTTTTTAAGTGTGTCACTTCTGATTGTGGATCATTTCGACGGCCGTCTGTGTGTGATAGCTTTGCCATCTATTTGTTTCCTTTTTTTTTGTCTTCGTTCTCTTCATCATGACAAAAGACAAGAACGATGATAAGAAGAGACATAGAGAAAGAGAGAGAGAGAGAGAGAGAGAGAAAGCAAATCGTAATAGTAAAAGAGCCAAGAGAATTACAAAAGTACAAATTTGTATATTTAATATAAACTTTGTTAGAATTTGTTTCCTTTCTTATCAAATCAGGTATTGATTTATAGATGAAAATGTCTGTAATCAAAGATCGTTGTCAACAAAGAAAATCGCTCGAAGCTATCAATGTTCTTTTAGATGTATCATCGGAAACTGAATGCACACACATAAACACTCAGACATTATTTATATGTTCAACAGATCGAGATTCCCGACATTGACACACATCCACACTTATATAGAAGTATAAAATCCTTTTTTTTTGTTCGTTTATATTATAATCTGTTAGAATAACAATTCTATTGAATGAATGCAAGTATGTCTCCATAGAACATTTCTATTATCTCTACTTGCTTACAAAAACCGGATAGAGATGCAAAAAGAAAAAAAAGTTTTTTTTTCTATACTATGTGTCATGTTCATTAATTTTTGAGCATTGACGATAGTGTTAGTGATGAACACACACACACATACGCACACAAAAAGAAAGGAAATGATCATGACCTCATCGAAAATCCAATTGTGATTTCCTTACAAAAACAATTTCCTGTGTAGTCAATTGCAAGGTCATTTATTAAGAATCTCATCTATTTGTTTTATTTTATTAAATCAAAAAAGAAAAAAGAAATTATATCGAAATATTTGGTTCAGCAACTGGCATATTAATAACTGCAGATATTAATGGTACAGTTGAATCACGTCGACAAACAAATACCTATTAACAATAAAAAAATTTTAATACAATTTAATACAGGAAATAATTCATTACTTTAATTATATCCGATATAGCTTTATCTGTAATACATGTAACAAATGAACAAAAACCATATTCAATTCCATTGATAAGAATTGGAATCTAAAAAGAAGAAGACAAAAAATAAGCAATTTTGATATTTAGGTTTTTTTGTTTTCTTCTTTTGTACTCATTATCTATCTCTCAAGAGGACTATCTAACCTCAACATAGTTTGGATTAAGATTATAAATATTCTCATCATATGTAAATGATAGAAATAGATCAATGATTGGTAATAATGATATTGATGATGTATTTTGAAGTTTAACAGTTAATTTAAAACGTGGACCAAGACCATGTACTTCAGCATTAATTCGTATAGTTTCAGTTTTTGTTTTAGCAACTGGATTTAAACCAGCTTGAACTGATTTAAGAAATTCTTTACCAGTTAATAATTTTAAACGAATTAAATCTTGTTGAAATATTCGATACATATCTTAAAAAAGAAATTTCTTTTTGTTTTTTTTTTTTTTAAATTATTTAATTTTACTTTCTGCTTGTTCTTTTTCACGTAATGTTTGATCAACGTAAAGTTTTGTTCGTTTTGGTACATCGATTTTAACTTGTTGTTCTTTTGGTGGACCATGAAGAACATCATTTTCTTCAAAGACTGCTGTACGTTTTAGAATTTTTATTACAAGTCCACCATCTATATTTAAATAAAGAAAGAATAATTTCATGTTCGAAACAAAAAATTTATTTAACAATACAATCCTATAGACAAGTTCTATGAAGTATTTTCTTAAAATCTATATTTCAATTTTTTTGCATATAAAAAAATCATTGTTTCATTTTGTATGAAAGATTTCATCTATTGACTGTCTTTATACAAAAAATATGTTTGAAACACTATTTTTGTTGATTCACTCGATGAAAAGATGATGATTAATCAATACAATCATGTTAATCTTTAACAATTCAATCATCCGTGCATACACAAAGAAGAAATCTTTAAATAGTTTCAATCGTAGTTTTATGAGATCGGAACCAAAAACAAAAGTAATAATCTCTGTTCTTATTCATTTAATCAAAACATAATAAAAAACATATTTTTATTTTTTACTTTTTGTAATCATTACTAATGTTGCATCTTCTCGTCCTAATCGTCCAAATTTCATTGCATAAACATTTTCTTCAATTTGAATAACATCAACAAGAAATTTATCTTTATATAAATGTATTTCATTATTTGCTAATGCAACAGCTACAGCTTGAAAACCTTTTGGACGATAATCAATTTGACACATTGCAGTTATTTGAGCTGGTAATATATGTCTCCAATAACGTTTACCCTTTTCAAAAGAAAAAAAAAATTTTGTTTTTGAATTTCATAAAATTTTTTTTTTCATACTTTTGTTGTATAACAATGTAATGATGAATCCATACAACCGACAATTATATTTTTACCAAAACGTTCAATACCAACAGCAATTGAATTTAAATAAATTGCATTTCGTGGTTGTGGATTACCTCTAAAACATTTTTTTTTTGTAGTTAAATTTAATTTCAATAATTTTTACCTTCGAAATAAATATATATATCCATTACGACAAGCAGCTAATATTCGAAATTCAACATCATAAACACCGGATACATCAAGAAATGATGGAGTTGCAGGACAATTCATCTATCATCATATGAAAACAAAAAAAAAACATATTTTTTTAAATGATATTTGAAAGATGTTACTGTAGCAAGTATTGTAAATGCTTCAGATTCAATTATATAAATATGTTGATCCTCAGTACCAATAACAAGACAATTAAGTGCATCCTCATCAGCTGAATTTTTATTTAATTTTTTCATACATGTTATACAACTCTATGACCAAAAAAACATATTATTTTTTTTTTTTAGTGATAAAAATATTTTCCTCTTTACTTACCTGTTGTTTTAATTCAATATTTTTATAATGTTCAACGAATTGATGTGCTTCATTATTGTTTGATATTTGTAAAAACCTTGAGTTTATTCAAAAAAAAAATAAAATTAATCTATGATGCGAAAGTCTTAGCACAAAATATTCACTTAAAGACAATTGGTTACAAACTAGAAGCAATTAGTTAGAATCAGAATTTTTCATTCTTTTCAAATATTTGGTCAGAGTTTCCTGTTGGAATAAGATTGAACTAGTATCCTCAGATTGTTTTAAAATAGTGCTTATACAAAATACTCTTTTGGTCAATTTTGTATTTCAATTGAAACCTATCGGATTCAAAATGTAAAATAGTTTTTAATGGTTCACCAGGGAATGTCTTCAAAGTTTCAACGGAAAACAATGTTTCATTCTTGAGATATTGAATTTCCAAAAAATAGTTCTTTGCCATCAAAATCGAGTTTACTTGGAAGTTCAATATTTCGACAAAGGAGCATTCTTTTCGGCTGAAAATTTCAGGATATTCTAAGGGCTATGTGAATAATTAGAGATGAATCGAAAATTCAGTAAGACGGTCATAAATCGACTTAGAGTTTTTTATTCTTATCGAGACCTCTCTTCTGAGTTCTTTTATGAAAGTTAGTCTAGTTGAATTCTCTGTATGCACAAAATTCGAAAACTTGGCGTCTCTAGAAAAAAAATTCAATAGTTTAGTCAACACCCAAATCATTTTAGGATCTTTTCTTAGAACACTATGCAGTAAAGAAAATGATTGAAATCGAAAGAGATCAGCTAAAGAAGTTCTCTCATAATTTTTGTAGAGCAAAATTTGCTCTACAAACCGTACTATTTACTTTGCATTGTAGATGTCGAAACTTTTATGTTTTTAAAATCAATTCTTCAAACAGCATGTTGTTTTTAGTGGTATAAAATTATAATTTCTCGTTTTAATTCCGAAATCAGTGTTCTACAATAATATTGCTGTCTCAAAACACAAACTATTTTTTTTTAAATTTTACTAATAATTATTCATTCTTACTATAGAAGGAAAATCTAAATAAATATGCAGCATTAGCAAAAACTTCTGATTCTAATCAGTTGTCTTTTAATGATGAAAAAAAATGAGTGAATATTTTGTGTCAAGACTTTCACGACATAGTTTAGTTTTTACATGTATGATCGATGTGTTAAAGTAGTAGTGCCAGCACGATGAAGATCATTAAGAACATCATGCATTGCTTGAATATCAATATTACCCTAAAAAAATATTGAAAAATACAAAATAAATTCTAATGATTCTGATTTGACATAATAAACCTCTCGAGCTTTAAGCCAAACATCTTTTTCTACTTGAGCTATATCTAATTGAGGTAATACAAATTTATAATAAGGACGGAGAGATTTAAAAAGAAATACTGCTGAACCAGATGCAACAGCCAATGCTTAAGTATACATAAAAAAAAATTAAATACTAATAAAAACAAAAAAATCAACTAAAAAATTTTACCAGGAATTCTTGGTTGAAGAGTATCCATATAACAAGCAACAACAGCACATGGTAAATCTGTAAGATTATTTTCTTTAAGTAATGAAAATCCTATAGAAATAATTTCAAATAAGATTATTTTACTATTATAACTAAAAAAATAAAATTGTACCTTTAAAAACTTTTAATTTTGTTTGTAGTTTTGGCATTAAAAGAATATTTCCAAAATCCGCAATAACTAAATTAACTGAACCTTCCGCAAATAAATCTACAAGTTCCATACATGTTTCAACTGTATTGATTCCTGCAACGAAATCAGCATGTGCTGGTAACCATTTACTCTTAGGATCGGCACTAAACAATTTATAAATTTCAAAAATATCTAATTTTTTTGTTTTTTTGTAATTAAAATTATTTTATTTTACACAGCTGTTGTTGGTCGAGTTTCATTTTCATTATTATTTGCAACTTCTTGATTATATTTTGATGAAGATTTATCTCCTTTAATTAATGCCATTATTACTATAACTGATTAATTAAATCCTTTTGGAAAATATAATGTCATAAATTATTCCATGGCAACAACAACAACAAAAAAAAAAGAATATTTCAGAGGTCGCTAATAAAAATTCATTATTTTATTCGTATCTATAGAAACAAGATTAGATAAGAAAGTTCAATGGTAAAATTATGTTCGCTTTGATGTTGAAAAAGAAAAATAATTGACATAAAACATGTAGATTTCATTTTTTTTACTGTTATTTTTTTGTAACTATAATGAAAAAGAAAACAAGTTGTTCGATTTCTTTGAAAGTGATTTTTCTCATATTGAAAATGAAGATATTACTTTTCTTTTATTGTATCAATACTTTGAATACATATGTTAGAAATTAGTTCATAAAAAGAAAATACGTATAGAATATAATTCAAGCATTAGTATGATTTTACCCGATACTAATGATTATTATGATAAAGATCATGAAGATATTATTCATGAACAAACAAATCAAAATGAAGTAAACAAACAAGAAAAGGAAATGATTATTCTTTTATTTCGTTGTGTTATTTTAAAAACAATACTTCTCTTCATTCCTATTAGATTGTTAAGTTGATAATGGCAGTTTTTAAAACAAGAAACCATTCAAATCGAATAGTAGTTGATGAGTTTTATTAACTTAAACAAAACTGAACTGTTTAAAAATACTTGAATTTATAAAATCAACTAAATACACATCTATTAAATAAGATAGAACAATATCTAATTTTTATTTAGTTGATTATGACAATAATAATGATTTGTACTATTCTGAACTTTACGTACAATAGAATGTTTTAAAAGCCAGAACGTACAAAAAAAAAATCAATCAATTCAAATTGTCAGATTTTATTTTAAAAAACTTACTAAAAAAATTCTCATAATTTAAGTCTAATAACAAACAGCTTGATTGACAAGTTATCAAAAAGAGTTGGTTCATAACTTCTAAACTAGAAGTCCTAGAGACGTGTTGAACTTATATTTGAAAACAATACAAAATCAATTTCTACAAGCTCATCAACATTTTAAAAATTATGAATAACTATGTATATTTCGTTTACAGAAAGTGTGAAGTCCATTAAATCTTTTTCTAATGCTAATCAAATGTATTAATATCGCATCATGTCTTTGAATTACTTCATTTGGAAAGGAAAATGGTAGGCGTCGATTTTGTGTTCGGCAGATTAATTTAAGACTTCTTCTTCAAGATAATCGATTTTTCTAAAAAGACACTTTTTTGAGATAAACATATAGAGTAAAACCTTTTTATTGTGATCGGAGCTGGCCAAAAGTGCTCATTATTGGAAGATTTTCAGTTGTTTTTTTTTCAAATGGTAAGTATTCACTTGCAATCACTTTCCGACTACATAAGATGGCCTTGTTCTTCTTTCCAATAATTTATTAGTTCGAACGATCACCTATTTTTTTTTAAGTAACACAAAACTAATCTTTTCTCTCGCACCCTTCACCCGATATTGTCGTTGTCTAATAGTGCTTCTTTCTTCTTAATACGCACGGTTAGCCTATTCCAACGGATCCCAAACTGTTCAGTATAAGAAGATGCGTATATCGAGAGGTTTTACTGTAGGCATGATCCTTAAGATCTCTACTATCCATTTCAAAATATGATGTGCTGCATTGTTTTTTGAACAACTTTTGATATGAATATCCTAGAAACCTGAGATTTTTACCACTCAAAAGAGAAGATCTACAGCCATCGAAGTATACCGAAATTTGATTGGTCAGCAATTGATCAATCAGATGAGTTTCTGCTGAAGATTTTTGAAAACAATATTCTGAAGAGATTTCCCTTTTTATTTAGACTTTTCATGAGACTATTCGATAGAAAATATTCATCTCTCTTTTAATCTACACAACATCAACATCCCTAACATGTTCCATTCGAGAGGTATAAGATTTCTCTTGACACCCCCGATTCCAGTTAATTTGACTTGTGATCATGCAATGAAGCAACTATGCAAGGGAAATTCGCCAAGCTGAGTCGAATGATGATATTTGTTTTTAGATTTGAAATGATTCAACACTATTATTTCAATATTTCTAGAATGTCGGCTCCTTTGTTACATGAAGATTTATTGTGAAATTTTAGAAATATGGCGATAACAGTGTCAGATCATTTCGAACCTAAAAACAAATATCATCATTCGACTCAGAATGGTGAATTACTTCTGCATAGCTATTTTTCCAGATGATCACAGGTCAATTGTTTGAAATCGGGGCGTCTCAAGAGAAGTCTTATAACTTTCGAACAGGATAAGCTAGGAATGTCGATCTTGTGTAGATCGAAAGGGAAGAGTGTTTTCTATCGATTAGTCGTATTAAAAGTCTAAATCGAAAGAGAAATAGATTCAGAATATCGTTTTCAATAAACCTCAGTGGATTTTTCTCTCGTTTCTTAGTCACAAAAAAATTTCCTTTTATGCCTACAGATAGAGAATTCCAAGTTTTTCACAAAAATGTTGACTTTGTTTCTCAAATAACTTCCTCTTGTTGGTGGAAAATGTAGAAGAAAAACATCCACTGAATGTTCCAACTGTAATCGTCAAGAAAACAAAAAAACTGATGACAATTTTTTAATAAAAGTCTTTTTTGTCGTAGACTTAAGCTATCGTTATTTTCTCTATTGCAAATAACCTCAAAACTTTCATAGTTCAATATAATCTTTACACGATTTTGTTCAAAATTAAGTTCTACATCCAATAAATCTTTCATAGAGCAAGTCTCGCTTTTGACAACATGATTTTTTCAAAGTACACTCAAAAATACGGACAGTTGTCAGTTTCAAGTCTTTTTCTCGGTAATTTTAAAAAAGTCGAAGAGGCATAGAGTACAAAATTCACTATCTATTTATATTAAGTAATGTATTTTTGACATTAACTTTACAAAAATCAACAAGCGTCAGCAGAGAATAGGAAATCACAGTTAAATGACTGAGTAAACGTGAGTCTTTTAAATTTGGTGTCAGCAAGGCAAGAGGAAAACAATAGAGACTTTGGTTGTGAAGTCTTCTGAATAGTGTTTCTAATGGCAGGTATACCAAGCAGAAATAAAATGTACAAAACATCTAGTGCTCTCGATATATACTGAAAGCGAAAAAACTGATTCCGTGATTCTATTGATTTTAAAAGAATTCTCACCACGAGAATAGCGGAAGGAAGTTATCATTACGTTACTAAATAACGGGTAACGGACAAACTCGTAGGTTTGGTTCTTTTGTGAGGAAATGACTATTGAAGAAAAATCACAATTTCTTAAGAAGTTTTATCGAAAACTTTCGGGATCGAAAAATTCGAAACTGTAATCAGTTTCTCAGAACTATATGCTTGATTTCTCGGTCAAGTGTTCTAAAATAGTCTTTACGGCACCATGAAATTAAGTATAAAATTTCAAGAATCCGGTGTCTCAACCCTGAAAAATTTTGATCAAACTTGATTAGAAAATCGAAACTAAATGGTATTCGTCTCACAGCTACCATTCCATCACACAATTTCAAGTGAATTAAATATTAAAACAGTAGGAACTTAAAAGCAGAAATCCTATGATCGTATTCAGTTGCCGGCTCTGTCCAATTACGGTCGATTGGATGAATTCTATCACCGGATTTCTGCTTCCAAGTTCCTACCATTTTTCGGTCGTACCTCATTCACCTAATTTGAAATTTACTGTTTCCTTCTGGTGGCAAGATAAAAATTGGTTTGAAAAACAAAGTCAATAGTTTTGTACAGTTCGAAATTCTGTATCTTTTAGCATATAAAGAAAACTTTTTATGACTAGAAAGTAAGAAAAAAAAAGCACTAAGATTTAGTACAATTCATTCTGTGAGACACGCATTATAACATAAACCATTTCATTGTCAGACTTGGAATGCACGTTTTCTAATAGAAGATTATTTTTAATTAAGATTACTGAACTCTAATCATCCACATCAACAAACATTACTTTCAACGTCAGCAATCTTCACTCCTCCATCATTAGTACTTCCTTCAACAGATGTTTATGGAGTATGTTTATATCTCTTTCATTATCTCATCTGTATATATATATTTGATCATCATCAGACTGAGATTAATGGTAATGATTATGCACGTTTGCAAAATGATGCAAATAATAATAATGAAGAAATTTCATTTAATAGAAAAAATCCTATTGTACTTGATCAAAATAATAAAATCTATGTGAAGAATATCGAGAAATATATGAAAATGATATATGAATATTTAAACATTAATTTGAATTAAGTGAACTTAAGAAACAAAAGATTCTTGTCAAAGAAAATAAAAAAAAGAAGAAAAATCTTCTATTTGATTTTGTTGAAAGGATCAAAAGATGATTTAGAACAAAAATATCAATTGATTAATACATAACACGAAGAATTATTTGAAACAAATAATCAATTACTTAGAACAAATGAAGATGCAGAATTACGAATTCAAAAATCAGAAGCAGTTAAAACACAAGTACACACACACACACATATTTTGCTTTCTATTTATTAATATCAATATATTTCTAGTAACGAAGGAACCTTCTGATGTATTAAAAAACTTTCGACTCCATTTTTTGATGCATTACCTAGAAGATTACGAATATGGACATAGGCTACTATTTACGAGCGAATCGTTCCAGGTGTCAAATCGCTTTTCGACTGAGACATTCGTTTTCGAGATATGGAAATTTTATTGACTTTTTCGTTCCTTCAGCTCACGTGAGACTTTCGACTTCAAATACAACTTGCCCAATCAACTAATCTCAT